CTGACGAGTCTCACCCCGCTCGTCCGCCTCTGAGGGCATCGACCAAGGCGATTCGCCCGCGAGGCTGAAGGCCTCCCAGGAGCACCGGGACCCAGTCTCCGTGCCGTGCCGTGCCGTCCAGAGTTCGTCGTGGGTTGCTGAGTCCAGTCTGGGGAAGGCTTTAGAGTCAGAGGGAATACTGGAGGTGCCTTTGGTCAGGGATCTGAAACAAGAATGAAGGTGGACTTTTGGGGTGTTACACGAAAAAGGATGGCTTTTGGAGGAAGCTAAGCTTTCATACCTCACACCACACACCGTCCAAGCAATTCGCAATTTCAGGCTTTGACAAATCCCGAGATGCCAGTGATGCGAATGGATAAACCTCGAAGTGCTTCAAACATCAATGAGAATGGTGTTCTCTTCACTCAACACAATGACGTAGATTTCAGATCCCGCTTCACGCTCCAAGAAGGATCACAAATCCCAGGCCTTCAGGATGCAGTGGTAAAAGCCTCAGAACCACCATGACCCGCGAACTCCGCCGGCGAAATCGCCCGAACCGCGCACAAGACGCACCCACGCGTTTCGGGCATCGCATCGAGAGCTGAGAGAGACCCGCGCGCCCTGAAACGACAGGGTTTGACATTGGTGACCTGTAGAGGTTCGGGTTTGGGTGCTTAGATCATGGCCAGGACCCAGCTAGGTGGGCGAAGGGTGTCCCCTCCCAAAAGCCGACAGCTTCGAGGGACAGGACCATCGACACCTCGGTTTTGGGTCCGCCGGTCCGGTAGGGTGCACCGGCCCCTTGGAACGGCGAGTGAGAGGTGAGGTGAAAACCACCTGCTTTGATGTATCCACGGGGAACCTCCGATCAACTCGGGGGGCGAACTGTTGCCAAACCATCATGAGGATGTTCCATGAGACTTCCAGAAAATGTGTGCATGTTTGGGCCATTCGTATCACCCAACCTTCGAACATGAGGCGGAAGTGCCTGAAGTGCTGGCCGTGGCGAACCATATATGTATCCATGGTTGAACACCGAAACCGCCCCCCAGATATAGCTAGGTCAATATGTGGAGTTGAACAAAATCATGAACCAAGGACACTGCTCTTCAACTGTCTTCAACTTCTATCATTGTCTCAACATGTCTCAACATTGCATTGAATATCAGTTCTCTGGGAACATTCCAGCTCCAAGATGTTCCAAGTTCACCTTGCCGTCTTCAGTTTGAAAAGCGCTTTATTCTTGACCTTGATCTCACCATCCTTCTGCTATCTTCAAGATGGGGGAACACAAAGACCTTGCGGGGTCTTCCCCCCTTCCCTTTCGTCAGGTGCTTCACACGCCTCGCCAGCTCATCCACCGGCTTGCGTTCTGCTCGCGTTCTGCTCCGCTCTCGACAAGCTCCGCACACCGAGGGACGGCCAGGCACGAGGCCCTCCAGGGTGGTGACGTTCTGCACGTTTTTGGGTCTGGTCTTGTAGTCCCTGACCTGGTCGTCGGGTTCGCGAGGAACAACACGTGAGGTTCTTTTTTGGAGGTGGGCTTAGGCTAGGTGTTGGAGTGAGAAACCTCGGGGGCCAGCGGTTCCAAAGAGGTCCTTGGAACTGGAGCGGCGCCCAAGTCTCCACGGAGTTGGGATATATCTACCAGCCCCTGACGTTGAACTGGTGATGGGTCTTTGTGCCCTCTATTGGATGTCTCAGCCGCCTCCTCCGCTGGAACACAGCGCTCCGCCAGCGGAAGATTCGACGTGTTCGGGCCGGACGCCTGTGGGATGTTCTCCCGGAGTTCCTCGTGCTCGTTGACGTCTGGCGAAGGATACCCACCCTGACGACCGACTGCAGCGGCAGCAACGAAGACAACTGGAGGGTGGCGGGTTTGGTTGGGTGAACATATATGGTGTGGCCCAAGCGGTAGTACCCGGTAGTAGTTCCCCGCCATTCAACTGAAGAAAGTCCAAATTGTGCAAGTCCTTTGGACATGAGAATTAGAAGATACCTGGAACCCCACTGACCCCTGTTTTGATAGGAAAAGGCCATATTTTGGGTGGTTGGTGGTCCAAAATAGAGGTCATTCAGGTTCTAGGCCTAGGTATATCATATTTCTTGCGAGGAATTTCTCGCAACACTGGAGGAGGTTCAATCTTGATGGTCCTCTGACAACCCTCAAGCGGGAGATGGATGAATCCATCTCCTCTGCAGGCGGCAGTGAGAATCCAACAGAGCTTCGCTGTCTCGCCTGCATGTAGAGGCTGTAGTGGGTGATCATGTGGGTCTGCTTGTCCTGACATACTTTTTCGTGAAGAACACCCTGGTGAATCCGGGTTACATCTCACCTAAGAGGTTTTGGAAAACTGCTTCACGATGCTGTGATGCTGATGGTACACTCCCAGACCATTTATGGAATCTACCCTATGGCCCTATGTATGACCCCCCAATGTAAGTAAGCGATTTTCCATACGGTACGTGGATGGTCTGGTCCTTGCCATGCGCCATCTCCCAGGCCTTTGGGACGAGCTGCAGCTCAACGACACCCACCCTTTCGCGTTATTACTAACACTTAAATGCCCGTGGGCTTATATATGATCTTCTGCCATCTGTCCTGGTCGTAGATGAAGCCGACTCGATTGTCCCAATTCTCTGGGCAAACCCACTTCACCTGGCACGGTGCCGCTGGCTCGGCTCGCTCGGCGCAAACGCGCCAGCGCAGCTCAGCGCGCCAAAAGCGGGAACGGCCGCTGGGCGGAGTGGTCCCTGCCGGAGCACCTTCAGCCGATCCACGCCGTTCTCGGAGAGAAGCTGCACGATGGGTGGCTCAGGCTGCCGTGGTGCAATGAACCTGCCAGGACGGGATGCCACCAGCCAGGCTGGGGTGGAAGTCCCAGAAAGAAAGAATTCGTCTCCGAGCATCGAAAGAAGATGCAAACAATGAGTTTCTACCAGGACCCTCCTGTCGGGGTGCCCTGTCTGGAAGCCTATAGGAACTAGTAGTGTGGGGTAGTCCAGCCAGGACATCCCGAGGGTCGGAGGGTCCTGGTATCAGTGTTTTCCAACTTTGAAAGTGCTTATGGACGACACAAGGAGTTGGCCTTCAGTTCTGTGCTTCGAAACCATTGCCATCCATGCGGAGTCCATGCGTTTCTCTGTCTCTGCCCCCTCCCTCTCTCTCTCTCTCTCTCTCTCTAAGGATCCAAGTACCTTCTCATATGTAGGTGTTGAGGGTTCTAGTATCTTCTGAGAAGGTACGACTGGATCCCTAGGGTCTCTCTCTCTCTCTCAACTTCTCAGGCTTCCCTACTTCTCCGGCGGCATGGGCTCCGTCTTGACCTCGGCACACCGCGGCCGGACGTCCCGGAAGACGTCCCCGAAGCGAAACAGGAGGTTCGTGGTGTGGATGGTGAAACACCCGTTTCACTGTGTCACACCAGAATGCATTCGACCAAGAGAATGGAGCCACGAGCATATGCCTGGAACCCCACTGACCCCTGTTTTGATAGGAAAAGATGGAAAAGGCCATATTTTGGGTGGTTGGTGGTCCAAAATAGAGATCATTCAGGTTCTAGGTGAGCACCGGTTACCACCCGAAAGCAAGGAACAAACAAAAACACGAGAACGACAGTCGTGTGGTAGACTGGTGATGCGACGCGTGTGTCATCGCAAACGAGCCGCAGGTTCCACGGCGGGTGGGCTACGTGACGAGTCACGCACGTGGCGGTCATGATTGGGAACCCGTGATGAGCTGAAGAGAAATCAGGAGCCAAAGGGATGACTCCAAATCTCGCACGAACTCTCAGTCTGCTTCTTCGAGCGCCAATTCGGCCGGCACCCGCGAACGAAACCTCTCGGTCGCCCGGCCATGACGGATTCGCCGTAGGGACCTTGTCCGACCAAGTTGACGCCCGCCACTTTGAAATAGTATTCCGTCTCCTTCGATCGGTCGATGTTCCACACAAATCCGTGGGATGGAAAAGGAGAAGTACGTATCAACCACCTCTGAAAAAGGGTTACACTCGGTTACACCCGATAGGCCGATAGGACCGAATCCTAGCGAAACCATTGTTTCCAATTGACTGAATGAGCCTGAATCCTGAACAACCATTGTTGTACTCAGGACTTTACACTACAAAAGCAAAAAACATCTCTTTATGATCTGGATGCAGTGTATACAGATGTGTCGGATGAAGTCTCTATAGATCCTCTCGCTCCTACTCGATATGACAAACCCATCACTGGGCAACCTCGCTCGATGTGAAGCCTCGAAGGCGGCGATCTGAAATCCCCATTGCTTGGTGTTCATCTCCAAATCTGGGTCTGGGCTACACAATCCTCACCAGTTGTCATAGACATTCATAGACTATAACCTGGAACCCGGACAGGACCCCTGGTTTTGAATACGAAAAGGATCGAAAAAAGGCCCTTATTCTTTGTTGGGTGGTTGGTGGTCCAAAATAGTGGTCCCAAATTCTACGGTTCTAGGGACAGTTTGACCCATCTCTGATTCTTCAGGCTCCAACCACCTCTCACTTCTCTCCAACACCTCCACCTCACCACCTCCCACCGATGGAACCCGCCCCCGCCACCGGTCCGGCTTCAGATCGCCGACCTTCGCCTCTCTCCCCGCCTCACCGATCGATCGATCCGCGGATCGGACGGGGCGCGACCGGCGGCGCGAACGGAGAGGAGTGCGAAGCCGGTCCGAATCCCCGGTCAGGGGGGGCTCCGTGAACTGGGGCCCCCCCCCCTCCTTTTCAAAGAGGGGCCTACCGGGCTGGGTTGGGGGACCCGGGTGCCCACCGAAGCTGAGGAGATGGTCGGAGCCCTTTCCGGAGCTCTTGGGTTGGGCGGACGTGTTGGGTTTTTTGCGGTGACATCCAGGGGACAGATCTGTTTAAGGAACGCTTGGATGGGTCGTGCTGCCGCGACAGCCTCCCTGTCGCGCTGCTTCTTCAGGTCTGGACCTGCCGGATCCGCGCCGGATCCGCACCTTGTGGCCCACTTCCTTTGCCTCCTTGAAGTCTTCATGCAGCGAGTAGCAAATCCGATACCTCCCAGGCGAAGGTCGGGGTCATGTAGTATGTGCCTGCTCTGAAGAGCTTCGGTTTCACCTTCAGCCTCTTGGAGGCCAGAGAAGAAGAAGAAGAAGGAGAAGGAGAAGGAGAAGGAGAAGGAGAAGGAAGAAGATGAAGAAGAAGATAATTACAAGAAGAAGACAATTATAAGAAGAAGAAGAAGGAGGAGCAGAAGAAACAGAAAATGGAGGAGAAGAAGCTTAAGCTTAGAAACATGTCGAATCGGATGGGAGCCGCAGAACGGTGAGGAGAAAAAACGCACCTCGATGTTCATGGAAAGACGTCATCGGCTGGAGATGTGGTATGTTGTCCCTAGAAGTCCTATATATGTTGCCCCTTCTGAAGTAAAAAGAGATGGAAGTTCCTTTTCGGATCACCTAAAGACCATGTTTAAAGTAGTCTTGGACCCCCAGGGATATTGCAACCGCCACCCATTCCAACCTCCCAAAACCACACCACCCACCGAGAAAAGCGACGCGCACTAAACCGAACAGCGACCGCCTTCCAATCATGCAACCTCCATCTTCTGTGGGCTTCAGCCACTTCAGCAAGACAGCCTTCGCGGCCGCCGCCCAGGGCTGACGGCGGATGATGTAGCAAATGATGCAGGACGCAGGTCTGGTAGTAAACAGCCCTGGTGTGTACGCACCACTACGCACCACCTGCAAGTCCGCGTCTCCCTATGAAACCCAATGATTCAGAACAACACCCCATGAGGCATGAGCTTTGTTTGAGCCATACAGAAGTGGCTTTTTGCCCCACATGGACCGAATTGAATTGAATGAGGCCGAATGCGCTCGCTTCGAATGCGGTCGCTTCAGCTGATGTTGCACATGGGTCACGGTTTCCGTTACGTCGAAGCAAATCATCAGATACGCTGACTTCAGGCAGCAGAAGTGCCTCGTGTTGTTTGACTACAGCAACTCACCCCTGGGTCAAAGGATGTCAAAGGTGAAGGATGTCATACAGTTTGTCACTGTATGATCCACTACCCAGACACTCCATGTATGCCATATATGCCTACATTGACCCCAAAAACCACCCCGATGTAGGCATATATGGCAGTCCCATGGAGTGTCTGGGTATATCAAAAATACATAGTCAGGAGTGTCTATAAACTTTAAACAACCAAACTCCGTGGTGGTGATAGATGTTCTGCAGATAGGCACCGCAAATACGCCCCGGACACCAAAAGACACCGCAAAAAAGGTTGTTTGGACACTCTCTCCCAGCACTGAGGAAAGAAAGGGCCCATCCATCCCGCTCGACTGCGCCCGCGCTCGACCTGGGTCGCCCCAGCCCCGACGGCTTTCGGGTGTGGCTCGCCCTTCAACTCGCGCGGCGCGGAAGGCGCGCGAGGGATCGTGGCCACCACCCTGAGCTCGGTGTCCGCGCCGTGCGGTGTCGGTCGAGCCGTGTGGGTCGGTGCAGACGGGAGCACAGTGGGAAAAACAGAAGACAACCAGCTGGAACAAGGGCCGGGGGTTCTAGGTTAAGCTGCGCTGTTGGCAGGTCTTGTTGTCTTTATTCAAAAACCTGGAACCTCCAAAGTACCTTAGAAAATAAATGAAAATAGGACATGACCCCATTAAATGGTTTTTGTACCCATTTTAGCAGGTACTTTGAGACTCCAGGAAGACTTCTATACTGAAAGGCTGTACATGTACGTACTCTCGAAAGGCTGACATGTGTGTAAGGAAAAATGCCATGGTCGACAGATGTCGACATCGAACAAAGACTCGGTCTGAACTGGGCTGGCCGACCCTTGTCCCAGATGTGGGATGCAGTCCGAGAACTTGCCCTGGCCGACATCGTTCGTCGCCTGGCTGGGGACATGTCGAAGTCCGATGCGAAAACATCGGACTAGGCCTAGAACCCATACATGACTCCCTGGTTTTGATAGGACATTTTACAGGGGGTGGTTGGTGATACAACATAGAGGTCACTCAGCTTCTAGGTATCTCACAAAGGAACTGGAACCCATGCCACTATCGGTTTGGCACGAGGTCTCAACTCTGATTTCTTGGCAAAAAGATGTAGACTCTTGATTAATAACAACCTCCCCGGGTTTGAATTGGACATCCTTTTTATACCTAGATCTTCCAACTATGGCTATGGAAAATGCCTGTCTTTTGGCCGGTTTTATAGATGAAAAGCCATAAATGTTGCCCAGTCACAGACAGAAGAATGTTGGAAGATCTACGGGGTGAAATATCATCAAGAGCCCTAGATTAGGACACGAAGGGAAGAACTCTTTCAGCCTGCGTTCCATGGGCCGCCGAATGGGACGCACGACGTGCGTCGGTCAAACCGCCCGGGTCACCGCCACTCGAAGGTAGAACTTCCTCGGTGGGTGTCGTTCTCGTGGCTTCGCACGTTCGCCCCGGGAGGCGGTCGATGCCAAATTCGAACCATGCCAGATCTAACAGGAGTGTGTCTTAAACCATCTTAAACCTCTGAACTGGATAACAAAAGCAATTCACATGAAGAAGTCTTTTGCGCGGCCAAGGAACAAGTTGGGCTCGACGTTGTCCAATGTGTAGCTCGTCTGGGCGTGGTGAGGCGGCGTCACGTCACGCACCACCGATGAGGAGTTGATGTTTTCGTGTCCATTGGGCTCGGTAGCCGAAGCATCACGGTTCACCGGAAAGCGAATCAACCAATCATCCCATCATCCTGTTCCATCTCTGTCCTGGTCAACCTGCCATAACGTGCCCAAAAAAACAAACCAAAAAATACCACGGCAGTTTCCAAGGACGGTCAGGCAGACGTCTAAGGCCATTCATCAAACACGTCGCAGCGATCCTTGACGTCGCATCGCTCCGGACGTTCTGGTGATGTTCTGCCCTGCCTCCGTGATGTTCTCAATGACCTGCCACCGTCCGACTCGCCGGACCCGCCCGGGGTGGCTCCGGTCGGCAGGTGTCCGGTCAGGTCTGAAAATGCCAGGAAGCAGCACCATCCAAGAGGTGTCCATGTCCATAGCCTCTGAGAGGTTTATTTCTGTTTTGGACTTTCAAGCTATTCAAGGTCTGTGACCGCTAGCTATTCTTAGAGGTTAAGGGATGTCCAAAAAACCTGTTGGAAGGTCCAGGAAGACGATGTTTCATCATAGAAGAAATCGCTGTTGTTTTTTTCTTCGACTTCGCTAGGGGTCGGTGTCAGGCTAATGTGTCAGGTCACTTGGAGATGAAGCCACTTAGCCTTTGACATCCGTTGACTCACGCCTCGCCTTGAAGCCCTGAAAGCGCATGTTCGTGGCCCAAATCAAGGTGTAGAACCTGGCCAGTGATGAAGTTCTACAACTAGACGTGACGAATTCTGGACCCTTCCTGTCACTCTGAAGTCAAAAAAGACACCGTTTTGCACCCCCCCCCCCAAGAAAAGAATGCCCTATAGTACATAGTAGAGCTCCATGTCGGGGTGCTGAACTTGGAGGATGCCCGGGTGCCCTGCCAGTCCCACTGCCCCACAACACATCCGCTCGTTGAAGATGGGTTCCAAACGGTCCCTACCTTTTAGAACTCCAAACTCCAGACGGTGCACGGTCTTTCACTGGTCTTGAGCACGCGTCACATGCCGCTGTGGCTGAATGTCAGAGCCGCCATCATGAGGGACGTGCCAATGGAAGGTGATGGAGTATGGCTTGGCATCCTGGCGAAAGTGACAGGCCTTCATCCAATCGTTCTTTTCAGCCGAATTGCACTTGACCAACAGCCCCCCACAGCACTCAACCAACAAACCCTCCTAACAAACATTCCAAGCTAGCCATCAACAGCCCTCAACTGTCTCCAAATTGGGAACATCGACCTTCGCCTCCAACAAACCCTCACCAAAAACCTCGAACAAGACACGCTTTTCACCGATCTTCGCCTCCTCCGAGGCCAGGAAGGGCGCCGTGCACTTGTCCGGGATCGTCGGCATCGTCGTCACCTCGGCCGCGCCGCGGGTGGCGCGCGCGCCGTGCGCGTCGTGGGTCGGCGCGTCGCGGGTCGTTTGGGGCCGGGTTCGCTCCAAGGTCGTGGCCAGGTTCGAGGGTTCACTGGTGTCCGACTCTCCCACCTGGCCAGGCAGGTTCGAGGGAGGCTTCACGTGTGTGACGGTGAAGGTCAAAAAGAAGAAGCTGCCCTCGTTTTCTGAGATTATTGGTGATTCTTAATAAATGAAAAAAGAAAACGCCTCAATCTTTTTGTGTTTGCTTCATGAAGTTCATCCCCATTCATTCCCCATCCATTTGCTTTCACCCATGTTTCAGGCACCCGCTAAAGCATCGCTACATTCCGTCGATTTCTCGACACGAGAAATCAGGGTCGGGTCGTCCACACCTCGTTGAGACAGGAGAATTTGAACCTGCATGACAGGCGAGTCTAGGAGCAATTGCTGTTTCTAGGAGCAATCACTTCATCGTCGTCCTTTTGTTTTATGCCAACGCCCGCAGTTCTTAAGGAACCCAAATCATCGATCCAAATCTTGTATCTATGAAGAAAACGACCTATACCTGGATCTGACCTGCCTGTGACAGATCTCTGCCGAACTTCATCCATAAAATCAGCCAAGGTCGGCAGGCAGACACTTGGCATGTCGTTGGAAGATCCAGGCATAGTTCAACCCAGACGCTCCCTGTCTGGGACTGCCATAGGACTGCCGATCAATTGACCCCCTGGCACCACCCCAATGGTAGTCCTATGCCAGTCCCAGACAGGTCGCGTCTGGGCCATGTTCGACCCGGTGGCATCCTCGCCGGTCTCGGGTCTCGGGTCCATCCCACGACCGACTGGTCTGGATGTCGTCTCCTGTAGCTGGCTCCAGGCTCCAAGTGTAGGACCTCGCGCCAAAGCACCCGGAAGGATGGATGGAGCTAGCTGAGCGCACTGAGCGCAAACGCACCAGGCAATGGAAAAGAACAACAAGTGCATGGATTGCAATCAGTGCACGTTCCCACGGTCCCAAAGGCAAACAGATCTTCAGTGCCACTCCTCAACCGCTTGGACTGGGCAGGCCATCGGGTCGGTCCAACATGTTGACATGTTCAAACTGTATGTTCATACAGCTTCGGAAACTCCGAAGCCCAGCTATGCCAGAACAGCATGAACAACACAGTCAGGTGAAGATACTCTCAGCATCTTTGAGTCTTAGACCTACCATAGAGACTTCTGGCTGATCACCCAGAAGCTCCGACCCTTCACCCCGTCCCCCGACCCCACGTGGCACGCACCACGGCACCCCGAGACAACGAGGTTCGTGGACTCCGCGGCATCTCGGGCTCCGCACCGTGAAATCCCAGTTGTATTGCACCGGCAAGGTGGCCGTGTCCTCGTCCTGGCGCACCGTCCGACGTTCTGTTCGGATCCCCAGAAAACGACGAGTCGAGGAGGAGGAGGAGGATGTGAAAGGGATCGCTGGGATCGCTGTGGGGGGTGTGTTGCGGGAAGTGCGGGATAGCGCAAATAGCGTTCTGGCGCCGTATGACAGCGTGCGTTATTTGTGCGTCTGGTGAGTTGATGGATGTGCTCAGCCCAGGAACTCTTTTGACCATATGGATTCAGCCGTACGAGGTCCGAGTATACGTATCCCAAACACGACTATGGGACTGCCATATATGCCGCCCCATTGACCTCCAAAACCACCCCAACTGATCGGCATATATGGGTTACATGGAGTGTCTGGGTATGAAACTCCATTGAAAAGCTCAGGGTGATTGCGCAGTGTTTCGATGGTTCCCAAAAAAACGGATGGAACTCCACGGCGGCCTCCACCGGCCGCTGCTCCACCTCGCAATCCTCCGCCTCCACCACTTTGAGCTCCTCCAGCGTCAGGTGAAGGACGATGTGGTTAAGGTTTGTAGTTTGGAGATACCTGGATCTTCCAACTGTGACAAATGTCTGCCTAAGGTCGGTAGAAATTTGGCATAGTTGGAAGATCCAGGTATTTGGTCTCAAGGTGCAGTCGTTTTTTGGACTCTTGATCGAGAAGACCGTCCTTCCACTCCGTGACTTCGGGACGAGTCTTCCAGTTGGGACCCAGGAAGTGTAACCTGCCGCGCCGCGCGTGTTCCGCGCCGCCGCGTCTGTTTCGGTGTCTTTCGATGGCTCCCCCATATTTATGGCGTGTACAGGTCAGGAACGGAGCAAACAACTGATGAAAGACATGGAGTCTTGCTGGCAAAGAATCCGGCTTTACAGGATTCCTGGTTTCCCCATTGATTCTGCAGATTCAGAGTCTGAATCCTGAAGAACAACTGCTCGAACTGTTTGACCCAAGGATTCTACATCAAAATCAGGTCCACCACTTTAAACATGGCCAAACGGAAGGCTAATGATTAATGTCGACCTTTGATGAGTGAATACCTCCTCAGACATGGATTGTAAAGCCTCTTCAGGAGTCTACAGTCAGGAGGATTTGGATGAATATTCGGAGTCTACAGGTATGGATCACTTCACCAATCACTTCACCAAAGGTTTTTATATTTGGAGTTCATCTGTTTTGACTCGCTAGGAGTAAAGCCGCCACCCAAAATGGGCGCAACACACACGGCAGGCCTGCATCCCGTCACAGGGCTGCCATTGCCTTCAGGTAGCACCATCTTCCTCAAGAAGCGCAATCTCTCTGCTCTGCAAACTGAAGCTACTTACTTAGTCCCATCACATCCAGTCACAGCGATCTTTCTCCACTGGGTCGGGCAAACGAAGTGAGGAACGCCCACAACTGTTGCAGAACAAAAGTCCGACCCGACCACGTTGCAGATGGAGGAGAATCCAAGTGCTAAGCCAAGAGCAACTTCGCACTGTAAGGATTCAGCACTCCTGGCAGCTTTCGCTGCAAGGTGGCAGCCGAACTCGTCCATGAAAGATTGGTGTCTATTCTATACAGTCTATACACCAAAACTCAAGCCTAGGATTCCAACCACCATTCATTGAATGGTTCTCACCGAACAACCATTGCTAAAGGACTTTACCCCAAAAAACCATAGAAAAAATGAGTCTTCTCCTTTTGACCACAAATGGTGTCTTCTCCTTTTTACGGCGACCTTCTGGATCCTTTTTCCCACATGAGTACCAGTCCACCCACCTCTCCCCTCCGCCCCCCTCTCGCCCCACGGTGACGTCACGTGGACCCCGCCTTTCACCACTTCAATGGGCTCCGGTGTCTCCGGCCGCGACGGCAGCCTCAGCCCGGCACCGGACCCCTCCGCGCGCGGCACGGACCGAAGCGCGCAGGACGAGACGAGAGCCGCGACGAGCGGAGGCGTCCCTTTCAGCCTGGGAAGCCCGGACGTCTTGAAGGGCTCCGACCTGAAGCAACGAAAAAGGTTCCTATATATTTCATACCAAAAAAGAGGCACAGCAAAATCAGCCGACATGATTTATTGAAACATATTGAAAAATAAGTATACACGAAAGGTAGCATTATGCTAGCTGAGTTCTATCTTGCGTAAGCAAGGGGGGCTGTATCCTTGAAAGTCCTTGATTTTTGGACAAATCAGTTCTTGGACGCCAACGGAAGATCACGGGATGATTCTTTGGGGGGACTATCAACGCGCTTTCATAGGGCGGTCAGTGACCACAAGCTATGACAGCTATGAGAAGTGATGGCATGAGATGGAATTGGACTGTCTTCACCCATCTTTCCCCCCTCCCTCCCAGGTGCTCCCCCAAACCATCCCAAAAGCTTCGCCGCTCGACACGGGACTGCACCGCTGGGCTGCCCGTGCACGAAGCTCCACGGCCCGGTACCGTGCGGCGACACCGCCCGGACCTGCCGGGCGCGACGAGTGCCGAGTGCCGAGTGGCGAGGACGGGGACGGTTGCTGGGGGCCTGGAAGAGGTAGGTCCGACCGGTGATGAGCCCACCCACGCGCACCTGAAGGGCCAGTGGTCGAAGCGGTGCAAGATGGTAGCAAGTTTGAAAGCGAGAAGAGAAGCTCAATCTCCGTGAGTTTGAGAGCGAAAAAGAAAGTGAGTCATGTTAATTATATACCCGGAGTCTCAGTTCGTACCTCCTAAAATGGGTACAAGATGGTACAAGTACCTGTTTTCCTAGGGTCATGTCCCACATTTTCGGTACGACCGAAGGTCGGGGTCCAGGTAGTATTTCCGACTCTTGGGTCCTTTGGCGACCCGAGCCACAGCGACCCGAGCCGATCCGAAGCTCCGAGCGCCCGACGGGCGGGGATTCTCCGTGAGGTGGAGCTGGCCAATTCAGAAGTCCCACCTGCCCATCGGGCGCACTCGCTCGTCCGACCGTCTCAGCTCCACACATTGAAAGACATTGACATGAAGTGGAGGAGACGAGATCAGCGCACCAGTTGCACCAGCCAAAGCAGTTTGTGCCAAAAACTGCAAAAGAAACCTCCGACTTCATACCCAGCTGCCTCCAAATGAAAAGTGTCTGCCCTTTGGGGACTCGTTTTAGAGATGAGGCACGAGGCGCTGCAGCCGTTGGAAGATCTATACACCGTGAGCAGATACACACTATACACCGTTGTTGCCGGAAGATCTATACAACATCATTGCAGCCGTTGCTGCCGTTGGTGTGTATCTGCACATGTTTTTTTTGAAGTAAAAAACCGCATCAACTCGCCTGGTCCGGGGAACATCCTTCGTCCGTCACGATCTGCCCGGCATCCGGGTCATCCAGGTACTGCTCCTTGCGAGCATACCTCGGGCGGGTCGGGGCGCTTGCTATCCACAGCGTGGAAACAGCCCAGCGGGGGCCTCCACCCAGATCCATGCGTTGCCCCAGAATCGGAAGTACGCTTGCTTCGCCAAGTCAGGTTGGTGTGGTTTTTCACCAAGCCTGCTTGGCATGTCCATCGGTTCGATGGCTCATGACGCAACCTCTGAGCTCTGGCTTTTCTTGGGGATGGACGGCTCCCTTGTGGGTGCTTGGGCCAATTGGGTTCGTCTCCCCCCGAGGCGCGCCTCAACTCGTACTCGGTGATGTTGCCGCCATACTTGGCGCCCAGGTCACCCGCCTCAGAGGAAAGGTTCCATCCAAACAGAATCCTCCAGGAGCATTCCGTTCTGGGGTCACTTGGCGTTCGACTAGCCAGCCCACTACTAGACTGGACCTCCAAGCAGGTGACACTGATTGGATGATCCTGGCTCCTGGTGTCTCCACGAAGTCGTCTTATCGCGAGACCTCACACTATATTGTGATCTCCAGGCTGGACTCCCCAAGCGAAGGGTCTAGGTGGGCTTTTAGCCCTTGGCTGTTGTTTGGCTGCTTCTCGTTTTGGAATCCAATAGATCGCAAAAGGTCAGATCATGTCAGATCCATTTGGAAATAGGAGCCCGACCTGGATGTATTTCACAATCAAGGACTCCTTGCTGTCAGCCTCTGCGGTCGAAAGTGCAAGCTCTGTGGGGCTGTGCTGTCTCTGCCGAAGGCAAGGCTCTTTGGAAAATCTTTACACAGGGAAAATTCAGGGAAAATGCGAACACGCCGTGTTTCGAACAACCCAAACGCTCCTGGACTCTGGAATGGAGGAGTCTGGGGCTTCTCACCAATCCCTATAGGTCTCTGAGAGACCGGAAGTAGGATGAAGTAGGGCTGTGAACTCACGGAGGCCCCTGTTTTCAGGGCGGATATATGGAGTTCCGCCCCAGAACCTCTGCTGTCGGCGGCCGCGGTTCGTGACCAGGACGCGGTTCGTGTCTGTCGGCTTGGGTCCCATCTAGGGCATGTCACCTGTTGTGTCGAACCTGTGACCTGTTGGACGGATGGCACACCTAGAACCTGAGTCTGACCTCTATTTTGGACCCCAACCACCCAACATATGGCCAAACTTCCTATCAAAACAGGGGTCAGTGGGGTTCCAGGCATACAGAAAATAGCTCGGCACATCGAGGTCTGGCCACGAACGAGGTCTACTCGTCCCCGTCAGGCGCCCGTGTCTACTCTCGTCAAGGTGCCCCCCCAACCTCCAACCGCACACACGTCAAAGGCCACTAAAGATGGGAAGTTTACACCATACTCTTCGCCCAAACCAAATTGGTGCTTGTCTGTTACAGCAGGTGTTCTTGGACCCAAGTTCCAGCGTTTCTTGGACTTCCAAGAAACCACACGCTTCTTCCCCCTCAAACCATCCCTCCCGTTGACCTGCCCTGTCGACCTGCCTCCAGGAGCGTCACCGCGGCCAGGCGCGCAGGCTCGCCCACTTGGAGCAGCATCGGCGCGGAGACCTCCGACCTCGTGCAGCGTCGGGTCGTGTCGTGTCTGAGCGCGCGCAGACACGACCAGCTCGTGGGCGAAAGAAGCTGGAGGTCGGGGAGGGAGACATTGGGACACTCACGACCAGTCTTAAGATGGGAAGTATAAGCCCTATAGAAGTGAAGTCGTGGCCCACCATGTGTTTAATGGCCTTTACCGAACAACCATATTGTTTTACATTTTACTAAGGGTACTACAAAACCAGATCAACCGTTTTGAAAATGGTCTTGGATTTCCAGGGTAAGTCTATAAGGAACATGGCTCATCTGTTGAAGAGTTGTTCCAATATGGTCCAATCTCATGTCTCTCTTGACTTAGTCTTCAGCTTCCAAAAGGAATATATGTGCACCTTGGGGTCATTGGGGTCACGTCCATCTCGGGGGCCACGTTGGTTTTCTTCAAGCTACGCAGTAGCGAAGCAAAACATTCAAATCCCAGTCGTCTCCCGTCCACGTTACATAGGCGAGATGCCATGGAGAGACGCCAGCGGCATTCCAGCAGCGCGTCTGGAAATAGTAGGGGCCGCGCCTCATTTGGGAGACCATTTCAACCTATGAGTGAACCATCCGAGAATCGATACTCCTCAAACCTCCTCAAGCCAAGCACAACCCCATGCGCCTCAAGTTGGAGACATCCTATGAGCTAGAGCTAGAGAATTGTCCTCGATGGATTTCTTCCAGTTCTGCTCCAGATGATTCCCAGCACAACCAGCTCCAAGCTCTAAGCTCCAGGTGAAGCTTGGATCAAGATGAGCACATGAGGACATGAGGACGTTCAAAACAAAACAGGAAGAAAACAGCTGCCAAAAACGGATCCAACAAGCCCACTTACTTGTGCTGCAGCTCCCCGGCTCCACGCCGTGTAAACAACGCCACGACGCCAACCGTGTTTTCTCCGCCAGCTTTGGGGGGGGGGGCTCCCTCGCTTCGGCTCGCGCGAGCGGTGACCGGGCG